TTCCCTACAGCTAAGACAAAATCTTCTGAAATTTTCTAAAGCATGACCCCCCTGCCCCCACCTATTTTTCATAATATTTAGTAAGCAAACGTCTTCTTATAGACCGTCCACAACATTGTACCAGAAGTCTCAGAGGTCCTTTGCCTGCTCAGAGCTGATTAGTTTAGTAGGTCATGTATCCATTCTCTTCACATTACCATCTAGTGAAGAGCTCCCCACAGAATGGCAATTACATTGAGTAGCAAGGTATGTTTAAAAAATGTACAAGATGAGTTTGCTTCCTGGTGAAACTGCCTCTTTGAAAACACATAAACGTTCTAGGTTTAAGTTTCATGATTAGGTTTGAGGCTTAAGTGAAATTCGAATGCAAACAGAAGTCACCTTTATTTGCACTGATGGTGTAAACTACTGTACACTTTTTATGTTTGGAAAAAACTTAGGAAAGATCTTCCCTTTAAAAAACTAGCACCATGCCATTATTCACAGACAAAAACTTCATTCTGTCGAAATTAAGTTGCAACAATCATACATAGCTAAAAAAATATGTTGGTGAAAAAAAGTGTGACAAGTGAAAGGTCCACTGACAAGAAAAATCATCCTCAAGTACAGAAGTGTACAGTTATGGTACACAAACTGCCTTAACTGTTCCCATAGTATCACAATGAGACAAGAAGTTTCATCCATCCATCACATAGGTTGAGCTCGTTAGTGACACAGACACAATAACTTGCTCTTAATGCACTTGCATAAAACTTACCTGAGTGACACCTTTAAAGTCCTACATTGTTTGGATAACCACAGCCATGAAGGCAAATGTTTGATAACGTCTTTATCAAGTAGAACATATCTTGGAATTTACAGACTGCTTGTCTCTAGGGAAAATAGCATTCTGCCATGGACTTTTCAGCTAAATGTGTTTTAATTGTGGATTAACAAAGTTTTTGCATGGCAATTTCTTTGGCTCACAGAAACAGTCCTTGAACATGCCAAAGAGACAATAATCCTCAAAAAATGTACCACTAGCTCTACAGGGAGTCTAGTGAAACTTACCTGGGGCTTTGGCAGACCTTGCATTAGAGAATGAACCTGACTCTTACCTACACTGACCCCTCTCTTTGCACATGGCTTTCACTCCCCTATTTCCCATATAAAACTTCTGCCCCATTCATGTACCCATCTCACCATTTCTATGTAGTATCTGAGTGCCGTTTTTGGTGTATTAGCCTCACAACATGCCTAGGAAGTAGGGAAGTAGCATTTCCAGTTTAACTAATGAAGAATAGAACAGTCTTCTGTTCTGGAGCCCAGATCCTAATAAGTATTTAGGTATCTTACGCCTATTGATCTACATCTAAGTTGCTTGCCCAGAGGAAGTCAGTATCTTACCAGGCTTTCTAATTCTCTGGTTTGTGCCTTAGCTACTGGACCATTCTTCCTCCCAGTTTCTTTCTGTTCAGTCTGTTACCCAAGACGACAAGGTGTATTTTGTATGTAATGTGCTTTGCAGAGAGCACATAAACTTCACATGTGTATTATCAAATTGATGGGTGTACTCTTGAAAAAATAATGTATGTATTTCAAAATTATTTTCAAATGGGTATAGATATACTCCACCCCCCTCCCCAGCTTTCTAAATGTTCATAAAAACCAACCTTGAACATTTCCTTCCTTCCTAAAAGATTAAGGACATCATGCTGAATATTCCACAACAGTAAAATGTATTAACCATGGCATATGCTGCTCTCTAGCTATTGGGAAATTAGGGATAATTTTCCCTGAAAGCTTTTATGGCTCATCAACCATCCACCAACTAATCTCTCATGCCCAGAGATGGAGAATCTTTATGCCATGCTGAGCTCTACTGTAAGTTCATCACCAAGACAACAGTGTTTTCTTATAGAATATACATAACTTAATCACTGCTTTAGCCTTTGGACAAAGATTCAAGATCATTTAGCCAAAAACATTTATATCCCTCACTTTCATACAAAAAGAGGATGGCTTATAAAATTACGCAACACATTTGCTGTTGACTTTTGTTTTTCTTTTTTGCCTACGTCAAATATTTATAAGGCAATTTATTATACTAGTTCTTAATGATTGTAGTTAACATGCAAATGTAAAGTTCTGCAGAACACTGAAGGAGTCTATAACCTGTTCTGGTTTTTAGTTCAATCATCTACAATGAGATAGTAGGACACACCTGTTCACCCATCTACACCCTAAACACCCACACACTAAATGACCCATGATGATTTGAGC